AATATTCAACTCTATTTACTATACATTTCATCTACTATTATCTCTACAACTATTCATATACTCTGTCGTCAGCTGATCTATTTTGATCTACCTGATAAAAAATAAATAAAAACCAAATGGACGCAATCAATAAATTGCAATTATAGGTAAAGTGCTGACAGCCTGGCTAAGTGCCAATTGCCCCAAAAACGAAATGTAAGCAAAATAAAAAAAAAAAAAACAACAACAAAACAAAACAGAAACAAAAAACAAAAACAGAATGAACCGTAACAGAGGAGGAAGAGAATGAACAGGAAGCTGTAGCAATTAGAAGCAGACACCCAAATCGAATCGAAATCGTGTTTAGGCCAAGTCCGGGAAAATGGCCATCAATATTTGGGGCTTAAATCACTTTGCCATTAGCGCGATTGTGATAACCACAATGCAGCTGATATTCTTCCTATTGAATGCTTTGTTACACTTGGATAAACTCTCGGACTTTGCTGGCGGCGTTAATTTCATTGTTATAGCATTGCTGACCTTTTTCATAGGCCAATTGGATCGTCCCTCCAAGGTGAGTGTAAAACTGGCTGTTAAGCTGGGCTACAAATTAAATGGTTTAAAGCTTGTTTTTTGTGTGTTTGGGATTTGTCGGTATTTTGTAGCTGACATTGAAAAGCGAAAAGTGTGCACACGCTCCCGCACACACACACACACACAGCATTGTGCGATATGAGTCTGGGAGTGTGTGCGTTTGTGTGTGTGCAGGGAGCATCTGTAGTTGCATTTGCGGTAACAATAGGTAAACGCCCAACTGGCCCACACTCTGCGCCTGTTGTTGCTGCTGTTGCTGCTCTTGTTATTGTTGTTAGTTTGACCTTGTCTGGTGCAGGCAACTGCGGCCATGGTCCTTCGGCCAAGTTGTTTGTCGTCCTGTCTGCTGAACTGTTTGCAATTGTGCATTTTAAAGCTGCTGAACAAGTTCAAGTGTAGAGCAAACGCGGCGCCTCGCTTGCAAATATCTATTTAAGCGGGCTCTTCCTTCATCATATTGACCTGACTCTGTTCACACTTGAATGCGAATTTACGTTCGCCTCTAGGATTCCTTTTGCAGTTTTTATAAGCACTCTGATTTATTGCATACGCCAGCTGCCAATCGTGCCACAATAAATAAATGAATTGCGTTGATACCTCTGGGAGCGGCGCACATTTATCACGGCATAAAAGCTGTGCACAGCCAGCGCCCGGGTCAGCGATGCGGCACTTCGCAATGGATGACCATTGCTGCGGTGGCTTAGTCGTAAATGAAAATATAAATAAAAAACCATTTGGAGGCACAAAACGGGGGAAAAAAAATATGTAAAATAAAATAAATAAATAAGAGGAGAAATAAAAACCAAAAATATACTGAATTGCATGCGGTTAACCGGGAATTGCATAGCAATTTTTACTGAGCAAAGCTGGCTAAATATAAATAAAAAATAAACTTTAGAAAAGCAATTCAATTTTGCAGGAAACAGCTGGGCGATAAATTCATGGGGGAGTTCTGTGCTTCAGCATTGCAAAAGGACACGAAGGCGAGCGCAACTAAAAGTTTTTCTTTTGCATTTTAAATATGTTTCGCCATACTGTGTGATTTTTGTGATGCAATACAAAATGTTGACTTAAGGCAACAAAGTTAATTGAGGTCTCTGTATACATCCCTATAGACAAGCTGTTTGACCTTACTCTTTAATAAAATTGTATACATATATATATTTTGTATATTTACTTTAGCAATAACAATAAATTCTTATCCCATTTATGCTGCCTAGGCCTATGAGAGTCGTCAGCTTATGGTCACTGTCTTCGTCTGCCTGTGGGGCGCTAGACTCTCTGGCTATTTGCTGTATCGCATCATCAAACTGGGCCGAGACAAACAGTTTGAGGATACGCGACGCAATATCATACGCTATGCTATATTTTGGACCTTTCAGGTGAGTTGCCATGCAAATAAAATGAATATTAAAAGTGCTAGTAATACGAGTGACAGACATGGACCATGGACCATGAACCGTGGACCGTGGACCGTGCACTGTGTTCCACTACAGCTGTTGGTAATCAATGAATCTGTCAGCGCATGCCAATTTCCCATGATGTTGTTATTAATATTTCAATGGCTTGTCGCTGATGCTGGGCTATGCAAATGCAAGTGCCACTCGGTCTCTCACTAAATGTGTGTGTGGGAGTGTGTGGCTGTGGCTGTGGCTGTGACTGTGGCTGGGGCTGTGGCTGTCCTTCCACATTTGTGGCGTGTCGCAACGATTTGATTGCCAGCACTTGTTGGCTCTGCTCAGCAGTGCTGGCAATTTAGCCATTTACCGAACATAACTGTGCTCTTAATGCTCCTGCATGATTTAATAACAGAGTGGATTGGATAGTCTATACTGAAACTCAATGTTGATATAAGTATATTATCTATATTGCTTCGAGCGATGTCATCCAGACTGCAGCCAAACTGTTATTAGCTTTTCGCTTGAATGCACTTTTTTCATTCTTTTTTTTTTCTACTCGTGCAGGCCATTTGGGTGTTTGTCGTCTCGCTGCCGGTCATAATAATCAATTCGCGTCACACCCAGCCTCAGGCTGTTAAAGGCATGACCACATTGGATTCCACGGGCACGGGCATGTTTATTGTCGGCCTGCTGGCCGAGACGTATGCGGACCTGCAGAAGTTCTCTTTTCGCCAGGATCCGGCCAATCATGGCAAGTTTTGCAATGATGGTAAGTGCAGGCGGGAAATCAACCAGCGGCTCCATACATATAGCTGTCATCGTAGGTCTTTGGGGTCTGTCGCGGCATCCGAATTACTTTGGCGAGGTGATTGTCTGGTGGGGCATCTTTGTCATCTCCCTAAACGTGATCACTGGCCATGAGTGGGTGGCCATAGCATCGCCCATCTTTACCACGCTGATTATACTCTTCTTGTCCGGCATTCCGCTACGTGAGCGCAGTGCAGATGAGAAGTACAAAAAGTAAGTGCACTATAAATCACTCTTGTGCTAGCCAAGCATTACTTAAATCATTTTCCACCTTACAGCCAGGTGGATTACCGCAAATACAAGGCAACCACGTCGCCACTAATACCTGTGCCGCCGGCCATTTATGAGGAGGTGCCTGGGGCACTCAAGTTCATACTCTGTTGCGAGTTTCCCATCTACGATACGATGCGATTGCATAAGGACACGAGCCCCTACTCGCTGTCTATAGCTCGCTCTCAGTCTCACATATAGCAGTCAGTGGCTCACTCCAGCAGCGCAGCCGCTGGCGTGGGCCAACAGGTGCACACGCACTCCCACACCCACTCGTCGAGTCAGTCGCAACACCATCAGCAGCATCAGCACCGCGGTCACTGCTATGGCGCCGATGGTGGTTTAGCTGAGAGCCATCATAATTGTGGTGGCAGCTGCCGGAACGTGCACGTGAAGTCGAATCCGTATCAATGCGAGGCGGGCTATGGCAATTATGGTGGTCATCAGCTGGACGCTGAGGACACGGATGATGGTATTATCTATGTGGCAAGTCACTCGGGCAGCAAGGCCAAGGCCCACTACTTTCATGCCCTCGACACGGATGAGCGTCCGAAGTGCAGCTACCTCGCCGAGGAGGAGCTGGCCTCGGACTACGACGAGGATATACCACCCATCGATCTGAGCAAGGGGAACAGCGTCGAGAGCTTTACCAATCGGGTGCAGGTAGCCACCGAGCAATCCCTGAATGCCGAGGGCATGCCCGTGACAGTGACAACAATCCTGTGATTGTCATCAAACCCCTTTCGCTGTAGCTCAAATCTGTGGCTAAATACGCTCTGCAAGCCTGCTTAAATCGAATATGCTTGCCGAATAAAAAATAAAAAAAAAAGGAAAAAAAACTAAAACTAAAAGCCAGTGCCAATCTTAATGCAGAAACTAACTAACAAAGAGATCGCTGAATTTCAAATATTAAAAATTTCTACTATTTATTTGCTCAAAATTAAACAAAAACATGTGCCTCTTCTAAATGTTTCCCTTAGAATGTTGCACGTCCTCAACGTTTATTAGTCTCTTGATAAATTGGTCGAACTCCTATTTAAAGCAAAAGAAAACTCTATCAACTATATCAGATAAATAATAAAAAAGAAGAAGATAAACGCCCCACCAACAGGTAGCAAATCGAATCGATCTAAACAGAAACATATCCCAAGCCAAACCTACATTCAATACAATATATATATTTATATTTTTTCTCTTAAATATACAATAACAACTCTAAAGTACAAGAAACTTGTTAAATAATATAGACAACTGATTCATAAGCTTTAATTATTTAATTTTATATTTGTACGACATAATAAAAGCATAAATATAGACATATTTATTATATATGTATATATATATTAAGTATACGCATATTTCTGGTTGAAACTGTTATCAAATGAAATTCTAATAAACATAAAGCAGTATTATTAAGTGAATTCAAACATTGTACCTAATTAACAATTTAACGAGCTATACTAATTAAAACAAGCAAATGCTTATAAAAATACAATTGAAATGAAATGCTTAACTAAATGAAACGTCTTTATATTTATTTATACTAATTCACGGAAAGTGAAATTAGTATATTGGTTCTGTGCAAGGTCCGTCTTGCTGTCCGTTTCGTCGCTATTGAAGCCAAACTCTTGCAATTTGGGAACATCTAATTTTGTACACTGAAATATAATTTGTAATCATTTGATGAGAGTAGGCTAGGATTTGAGCTGGGTTGGCTTGAATCATAGATGGCCATGGAAATTCAAAAGCAGCTCATGCTTTAGTCGAAAACCAGATTTAGATCAGTCTCTGTTAATGTATTGTAAAGTACATATCGGTCAACAAAAAAAAATTTATAGTATTTACACAAATTCGTAGTTTCTCTTTTTCCGGAAAAAAATATTTGTATAGTTTTTTTTTTTTTTACCCCCAATAAAAAAACAAAATTTTGGTGAAATTCGTATTAAATATTTCCCGTTTGAGAGAATCATGTTTGGGCTCACCCGTCGCGTAGTCTTTCGTGTCTTAAGGCCGAAGACGATATGTCGTCAGTTTGCCTCACAAGCCATCAACCAGATGCTGATGCTCCAACAGATGGACATCTGTGCGGATCAGCCCTCGCGCGGTCTGGTCATCGGCGTCTATGCCGACGAGGAAGACAAGAACGACGCGGGCATCCTGACCGCAGCTGGTTGGCGATACAATGTCCAGAAGACAAACGGTCGTTTGATTGAGGTGCTGCGTATGTCTGGACCGATGCCGAAGCGCGGAGAGGCTCGCCTCCTGTTCGCCATTGAGCCGGAGCGAGTTCCCTACTATTCCGTCGTAGCTGTTGTTGGCTTGGGCAAGGAGTGTCTGGGTTACAATCCCTATGAGGTTCTGGATGAGCAAAAGGAAGCTATCCGACGCTCTGTGGCAAAGGCCTGTCAGATTTTAGCTGAGCTCGATACAGACAGAATTGAAGTTGAGAATTGTGGACATGCAGAGTCTGCAGCGGAAGGAGCTGCCTTAGGTATTTGGGCCTATCAAGAAATGCGCGACCCCAAGACTCGAATCTATGTGCCTTCAATCGATCTCTATGCGCTCAAAGATGAGCCCTGCGATATAGAAGGCTGGCGCATCGGACTGCAGAAAGCTGCTGCACAGAACCTGACCCGGCAGCTTCAGGAAATGCCTTCCAATCTACTGACACCAACAGCATTCGCCCAGAATGTTGTGGAGGTTCTGTGTAAATCAGGTGTGAATGTGGAAGTCAAGGTAGAGGGATGGGCCGAGAGTCAGTCGATGCATGCCTTCCTTGCAGTTGGCAAAGCCTCTTGTGAACCGCCCATCTTCCTCGAACTGAGCTACTACGGCACTTGTGCGGAGGAGCGTCCCATTGTGTTGGTCGGACAAGGCATCACCTTTGATGCCGGTGGCTTGTGCCTCAAAGAGCGCGAGGAGTTGTACCATATGCGAGGTGATATGACGGGAGCTGCTGTTGTGGTGGCCACCTGTCGCGCCGTAGCAGGGCTGCGTTTGCCAGTCAACATTCGCGGTCTCATYCCACTTTGTGAAAATGTGGTTGGTTGCAATTCRTTCCGTCCCGGMGACATGGTCAAGTCGATGAATGGCAAGACCATTGAAGTTCAGTGTACCGACCATGAGGATGTTCTAGTTCTAGCTGATGCATTGCTCTATGGCCAGAACTTCTGCCCCAAGTGCATCATTGACATTGGCACCTGCTCGGGCTACATGCGCCAAGCYTTAGATGAGGCTGCGTGTGGCGTCTTCACCAATTCTGAAATCCTRTGGCAACAGATCAAACATGCCAGCATGCATACCGGTGATCGCGTCTGGCGTTTCCCTCTATGGAACTACTACAGCAAAGCCGTCCGTGCCGGACAGCGTAGCGATGTGCAGAACTACGGCATTGGTCGTGGCGGACGCCCCTGCAAGGCGGCTGCTTTCCTGCGTGAATTTGTGCCTTGCGGACAGTGGATGCATATTGTAAGTACATATCGGGGTACTATCGGACATTCTTACTAAAGCTCAATTCCCTTTTTAGGATGCGACCAATGTGATGGTGACAAATGGCATAGATTTCGAATACTTGCGTCGTGGCATGGCTGGTCGACCTACCCGGACGTTAATTGAGTTTATTGCCCAGACCATCTGCAAGGATACTGCTCCGAAGATGGGAAAATAGAAAAGTTCTCGTATTTCTTGTGAAATTCAATTGTACGCCATTTTCCAGATCGTAGGTCGTGGTTATCAAATTAATCACACGGTGGTGGACGGAAGTGTTTTCTAAATGGATATGTTTTGTATTTCGTTTTCCGTTTTCCGATATGTTCATAAATTACTAGTTAAATTATATTGTAAAAACACTGCCCTTTAACACTCAATTAAACTTTGATACTGTTGTGACTAGAACTATATTGTTTATTCATCTAGAGGAATTCTATTGTAGAAATCTTAGACATAAGAAGTTGCCGATACTTCTAGGCTACGGCAGTTTGACTTATTTCTATATCAATCTAGTCAATCTAATCTTCGGATAAATGTAGATTTGCTTATATATGGATTAAGCCTATCGGTTCTAGGAAATAGAATAGATCGCATTATCTTTGATTTTTAAACGGAATTAAGCAGATACTGGACATGTTTTGGGTATATATGTCACAGAACTTAGGGTATATCCTATTCGGAGTGAACCAAAATATACACAATATATAGAGATTGTTTTTCTCTTGACATTCAATTTAGGGTATTTTCTATTCGGAGTAATTTGATATACTTTGCCTTGAAACCTAGAGCTTAGCTATCTCCTAGTCGCAGTAATTTGAATCGAAATACATATATAGAAAATATTCAGATCTAGTAAGTCTTGGAGTTTTTGTGTTATTGTTCGTTAACTCCAGTCCTCATTCACATTTTCAAATCTTTGGCGACAGAACACGCAATAATTTCAACTATTCCGGAAAAAATCTTTCTCTTTTGTGCCTTCAAAGTACAGATATATATTACAAAAAGTTTTCATAAGTTTTTTTTCATTTCTAAAAAAATAAGTCGAAATGTTTCGTGTAACGCAACGCTTTGCCTCGCGGGTTATGCAGATGCGTAATGCAAAAGCAATCATCAAGCGAAATTATTCGCAGATGATAAACCAAATGCTGCAGATTCAGCAGATGGAAATCTGTGCAGATCCCCCGTCTCGGGGCCTTATTATCGGAGTATATGCGGATGAAGAGGACAAAAATGATGCCGGCATCCTAACTCAGGCCGGCTGGCGATATAACGTGCAGAAGACGCATGGACGATTGCTGGAGGTCCTACGTATGTCTGGACCCATGCCAAAGCGTGGAGAAACGCGTCTGCTCTTCGCGATAGAACCAGAGCGAGTACCTTACTACTCGGCGGTGGCTGTCATCGGTCTGGGAAAAGAGTGCCTCGGCTATAATCCCTACGAGGTGCTGGATGAGCAGAAAGAGGCCATCCGTCGGTCGGTGGCTGATGCTTGTCGGATTCTGGCCGAGCTGGATACAGATCGAATCGAAGTCGAGAACTGTGGTCATGCCGAATCGGCGGCTGAGGGCGCAGCTCTGGGCATCTGGGTGTACCAGGAGCTGCGTGATCCCAAGAAACGTATGTCAGTGCCATCCATCGATCTGTATACCACCAAGGATGAGATATGCGATATTGAAGGCTGGCGCATTGGACTGCAGAAAGCTGCTGCTCAGAACCTTACGCGCCAGCTTCAGGAAATGCCTTCGAACCTTCTGACGCCAACAGCATTCGCCCAGAATGTTGTGGAGGTTCTGTGTAAATCAGGTGTGAACGTGGAAGTCAAAGTAGAGGGATGGGCYGAGAGTCAGTCGATGCATGCCTTCCTTGCAGTTGGCAAAGCCTCTTGTGAACCGCCCATCTTCCTCGAACTGAGCTACTACGGCACTTGTGCGGAGGAGCGTCCCATTGTGTTGGTCGGACAAGGTGTGACCTTTGACGCCGGAGGCTTGTGCCTCAAGGAACGTCARGAACTTTATCACATGCGTGGTGATATGACGGGAGCTGCTGTTGTGGTGGCCACCTGTCGTGCCGTGGCGGGGTTGCGTTTGCCAGTGAGTTAACTTAAACAAAGTTATATGAATATATGTTACTSTTTCGATGCTTAGGTTAACATTCGCGGCCTTATTCCACTTTGTGAAAACGTCATTGGTTGCAATTCGTTCCGTCCCGGAGACATGGTCAAGTCGATGAATGGCAAGACCATTGAAGTTCAGTGTACCGACCATGAGGATGTTCTAGTTCTAGCTGATGCATTGCTCTATGGCCAGAACTTCTGCCCCAAGTGCATCATTGACATTGGCACCTGCTCGGGCTACATGCGCCAAGCYTTAGATGAGGCTGCGTGTGGCGTCTTCACCAATTCTGAAATCCTRTGGCAACAGATCAAACATGCCAGCATGCATACCGGTGATCGCGTCTGGCGTTTCCCTCTATGGAATTACTATAGTAAGACTGTCCGCTCTGGTGGACGCAGTGATGTTCAGAATTATGGTATTGGGCGTGGTGGCCGTCCCTGTAAAGCCGCTGCTTTCCTGAGGGAGTTTGTGCCTTGTGGTCAATGGATGCACATTGTAAGTAATCTGCATACTTATATATGTATGTTTATAACTTACCATGTGCCGTTATCTATCTAGGATGCTTCCAATGTTATGGTAACAGTAGGTGATGAGTACGAGTATTTGAGAAGAGGCATGGCTGGTCGTCCAACTCGCACGTTAATAGAATTTATTGCTCAGACTATTTGCAAGGATACTGCTCCAAAGATGGGCAAGTAAGCAGACGTTGTGTTGCAGTTTAAGTTATCAAGAGTTTTTCACATGAATCGAAGTTATTTTACAAAAGGTAGACCTGCGACTTTTAAGTATGTGAGTTTTAATTTGGACAGAGAGATGTTAAAATTCAGTAGTTTAATCAGGTTTAAAAAATTAAATGTTTTATCAAAAGCATGTGTATAAATACAGACAGTTCTTAGTATATGGAACGTGCGTTTTGATACATTCGTCAATAATTGCTTTACGTATTGCTCATCAGAATCTCGATCAATCAGGTAATAAAATAGAAATTGCAAGCTGTGGCATAAATTCGAATTTGAGTACGGCGACTGCTACGCCAGTGAGACAGCATGCGTCAGAACAACGTTAATATCAATGGGTGGATAATTCTGCAACAGCTTCACATTCGACGCAAAATCATTCTCTAGTATGGCCTCCCGTTGAATTCTATAAACGAATAATACGTTGTAATAATTATCTACATTTGAAGTACGGTTTCTCTGACTTACAATATCATCGAGCAGCATATTTTGATGAGGAAATCGAAACGATTCTCATCCGAGAATATTGAATCCCATATACGTAACACATCTGGCAGTGGAAATTCTTGTGAGAGTAATAAATTGATCCATCGGAAACTATAGTACTGTGGATGCAACTCCTGGCTCTTGAGATGATTGTAGATGCTTAGATCTTTTGCTTTTAACATATTCGACAGCCGAGACATCATGCACTTTATGCCACCTTCCGCATCGTCCAAAGTTTTTATGAAAAAGTCTCGTATCTCACTCATTAGCGCAGTAAAGCAAAAGAAACAATCCGCCTCGGCATGTGCGCGATTTGAGAGATCAGGATCTGAGGCCATAACATAGTATATAGGTCCAACTATTTCGTTCATGCCTTGTACATAACCCTGGCCGGGATTCAGTTTGGCGTAGATAAATAATATTCGTTGCACAACCTCCCAATGAGCTTCTTGACCTTCTTCCATTGCGGCGTAGTTTTCCGCCGAGCGCTTTGTAATCAAGTTTATCTGGTCGGGAGAAGAAATCATGTTAGTCTCTTATTTTTAACATTAGGCTAACTTACTTGCTGCTAAATTCCGTATTGAATGCATTATGGAATATGTTTCTTAAGCTTTTAATGACCAACAAAGTCTTCATACTACACAAACTCACCTTCGTCACCCCTAGACCTTTACGTTCAACATTTGCCGAACTTAAAACGGAGGGCACAACTCGTTCGTGTAGCCTTCGGCCCTGCTCTCCCTTGCTGTGGACAACAATATCGCATGGATACTCTGTGGGCTGCTGAAAGAACGATATGTCTGGGCATAGTCGTCTCACATCTTTATCAATTTGTAGCAAAAATTCGTTATCGTTGAAAAATGTATTCCAAGCGCTTTCCGGACCCTCGCTGAGCGGATGATCTTTTAGGCCAACGCCCCTTGATTCATTACCATCATCGCTGTCACCTTCGCCGTTATGTGTATGACCAGGCGGTAGCACAAGCTCCATAATGAATTGTTTATACAGCGCACGTTTCTGTGCCAGCGTCGTCGACCAAGTGCTACGCCTGGGTCCTAAATACCCTAACAGCATTTTCCAGCTGAGCGCACGAAAGCTGAGCACATCGGGGACACCTGTGGATTGGATGTTATTACTTGTTATTCTACTACCTACATCATACTAACCATTGAACGTGTGCTGGCGCAGCTGCTTCAGCTCAATTACATCCTGTGAAAAAATATCTTCGAATTCCTTTACGCTGCACAAAGAGTGAGAGAAACATTCCCTTAGACAAGGCTGTTTACATTGTGCACCACAGCTACATACCGTGCTTTAAAAATTGCCATGCTGCTCGGAAGTCCTTTTTCTCTCCATAAAGTTGTACGTGATTGTTGTCGTTTTCTTTTCAATTGCTTTGTTGTTATTTATTGTAGATAATAGCAGGGACGTACGACTGCATGTGCAGTACGCTAATAATGAATGAATCGACACCTCAGCCGTGTGGCAACGCTGTTTAATTGTGACGTGAAGTTGGCTGCACGCAATTTTGAGCTGCCTTTAAGTTGCCTACGCGCTAAATTTCAAACGCATAAATCTGCTGTTCTGTTTGAATAATTCTTTTATTGCATCAATTGCACTTGTTACTCTTCACCAATTCAGCCGATTGTATAATTACCATGTTGTTTTGTGCTCATTAGGCGAACCATAGTTTATTCTCAATTTTTTGTTTGCTTGGGCCGTCTATATTACTCGTACGCGTCGGCGTGAGCAGACGTATGGCCGTATAATAGAGCGAGCGAGAGCAATTCTAAATTGTTTATATGGTTTTTGTGGCGCATTCCATTTGTTTACGCTAGTCGTTGGCCAGCAATGACGACCAACAGATCGTCATACGTTCGACCGGCTTTTTGGAAGGTGCCTAGTTACAATGGACATGACATAGTCTCTAAGCCAACGAGCACATTTCCGATTTCCACCTTGCGCCGTCGCGGCAGCTGCGGCCACAAGAAGCGTGTCCACTTTGCCGATGAGCTATATAATGGGGTAAGTGACGACACTGGCCCCTCGCACCCGCACCCACACTCTGACTATGCTCTGCTTTTGGCATATGGCATATGGCTTGTCAATCGCCGCTGCTTTGGCCCCAATACCCTCTTGGTCAGCGCATCAGAAAACAGTTCAATAACATTTTGCACTTGGCGGCTCGTAAATAACTCGGCCACAATTTAATTAATTAGCCACTGATGCAGTTTCTCTTTAATAAAACAACATATAACTTTCGATATTCCCAAACTGCATTTAAATATATACATATATTTCATAAATTTATGCACGAAGCGTGAAATTGACGCAAATGCTTTTAGCTGCGGTTGCCAAAAATCAAATGAATTTTGGAATTAAATGTTTATGCATTTACTGACAAGCTTTGAAAAATTTATGACGTTTGCTAATCACCGACTTGAGTGGACAATTGCAAAATTGATTAGACGTTTGTCTCTTGGTCTGCAATGAAAGAATTTTCATTTTAAGAAATTCAAGCTGTAAATAGTAAAAACATTTCAGAATTTTCGGCTAAAATGAAAGAACACCAAATCGAATAAATAGGTTTCAAAAATAAATGCCTGTCCATATATATTGTATGTATATAATTCGAAAAACGACGGGAAGCACAAAAATTTCCGTCTTTTCCGTTGTAAGAAGTAAAAACGGCGATGCCAAAAACAAAGGCAAATGAAATTTTTGTTTGAATATCTTTTCAGCGTTATATAGCTGTATATATATTAATGCCCTACCATTTCAACTTGGCCTGCTCAGAGCTATGTAATTCGTAAATGCTTCCATTCTGGAAAGGGCCAAAATCTTCTGTGCATGTTGCGCATACGACGCGTTGTACGCTTCATTGACTAATGCCGCAAACATTTTGATTTGTTTATTTTGAATGAGCGACTGTTATTGTTGCTAGTGCCGCCATTTGAAGCGTGCCAGTAAATAAATTTAATTACAGCCTCTCATTCGCTTGGATGCGATCTAGACGCTGAGCAACAAAATAATAAAAATGTCGAAAAAAGAAGCAAGCAAAACATATGCCCCAATGTTCGTCATCATCTCTAGTGTGATTATCATGTTGTATGCGCCCAGATGAGGCGACATGTGGCGTCCGATATTCAGGGTCAGTTTGCCTATGCAACCTGGATGAAAGAGCTGGCCAGAGAACGTTGTTGCTCTAGCTGGAATACATATAAGTATATTGCTGTTGAGTATGAAATTTCTCAATAATATCTGAATTGCTTGCAATGGCAGCGAGCAAACCGAAATGCTCTTGCCTGTAGAGCATGATGAAAATTATTGGCATTTGGATTGAGTTCATGTTTCTCAGCTGCTGACTACATGATTGTAGCGCAATGTATTCGTAGTATACCACGATCATTCGCTGCCATCGCTGCAAAAAGGAATACAAATTGTATTTTAAAATTAGTACTTGAGCAGCATTGCGATCGAATAATACGCGAAAAAATCGCGCTGCACGCGCTACCTCCGCCTCGGGCTGAGCACTTTGAGCCAATACAAACAATACAAAATTCGCGCATCAAGTGTGAAGAAGGCAATTCGTCTCTAACTATGCTCAATTGAGTTGCCTGTTGTGGAAACGTATTTATTTCAATTTCAAATTTCTATCAATATCGGAGTCTAACATGAGCCCCAAGCTCCACGAGTTTGCCGTGCAGCTCCAGCGCGATGGCCAGGCCACGCCCTGGGGCATACGTTTGGTCGGTGGCAACGATTTGGATACGCCGTTAATCATCACTAGGGTAATGTGAAGAGTGTGGGATTTGTGCGTTATGTAACTAGAGCAGCAGCAGCTGAAGAACTGAAGAGCTGGCACTGATGCTCCTCTTGCTGCTCTCCGCTCGCTGCTCGTTGCTCTGCTGGTCGCCTGTCGCTTTGTGGTTGAATGTCGCCTCAACGGCCCATTCATCACAATTGTTGCACAGAGCGGCGCGGCAGAGAAGTGTCCATTATCGTTGCCAAACTGTTTTGGCCTTTGGGTTCTGCACTACTTAGTGACAAAACAAACCACAACAACAAATCAAAACAGTAAAGGTATCACGAGATGACACTGTACGACTGACAAATACTCTGCAGCCACAAAAAAAGAGATAGAGACCTAAATCTATTTCCTTAATGACAGCAAAGCTTTTCATTTAAAATAGAGATTACTAAGAAGCCTTAGCGCTCGACTTGCTACTCTATCTAGCACACCCTTTAACCCTTTTTGCCAATGTAGAGTATTAATAGCAAAACTGGCACACACTCACACTCGAGCGCTAGGAGAATGCTGCAATGGCATCGTTGCCAAAGATTTGCATATTCTGAGACGCCAGTAAAACTAATTGAGGCGCAGCAGCGGATAGAAGACGACGCATGTAAACAATGCAAAGGGTGTGGGGGGATGGAAAATGGCCCCCGTCATAAATATGATGTCTGTGCATCTATGTCAAGGGCGTCGTAGGTCTGTTCAAGTGCCTTAACAAGCATCTCATGTGCCTAACCTTCGCCCACAGGTGCAAGTGGGCAGCCCATCGTATGGGGAGCTGCTGCGCGGCGATATTATAGCCAAGATTGGCGAGTATGATGCACGCGACTTGAGTCACGCCGATGCCCAGCAGCTGTTCCGCGGAGCTGGCAACGAAATACGTTTAGTGGTGCACAGGTGAGCTGATGACACGTCTTTGAAGTGAAAGAGCAGTTTAATTGATTAAAAACTCTTGCAGAGACAACACAATTGCCTACACACAGGGCGTCAATCAGGAAGCTGGTGCGGGCAACAGTTCAAAGTTGCCACCGGCCAGTCCGGAATTATCGCAGCATCCGCACCGCGGTCCATCACCTTTTCTACCCGGGCCCAGTCATTTCGAGCGTGCGCTGCAGCTGCCCGTAGATACCTTGCCCCAAACGGTATTTCCGCAGCTAAATGCCTCGGGTGGCTATGTGACACCCGCCAATGTGTTTGCTCCAAAGGCCACTCGCGATCATCAACAGGATGTTGCCGAGGAGCAAGCGCTCATTGTTAATCAGGTGAGTGGCGGAGCGCCGAGGGCTGGCTACAATTAACACTTCCGCTTCATATAAAGTTCAATATAAAATTGTTTGCTTTTACTTCATTGTTTACTTTTTCAAATATCAATAATATTTTCGCTTTACTCACTTGTTTACTTCTTAAAGTTAGCATTACCTTCTCACGCTGTGCATAATTTACTCGTTCGTTTTTCACATTGGGGAAATATTTAATTTATTTTGCCGCACAAAATTATGCAATAAAAAATATCAGTAGTATTTCCTTTACAATTTACATGAATATCCACCATATTTGGCAGGCAATTCTATTAAGATTGCGCTGAAAAGTATGCTACGAAAAAGATTTGCTGTACAAAGCAGACTCCCTGAAGGTGGCAATAGATATTGTTATGAAATAGATATGAATTTTGTAAAAATCCGTCTACCATCTGCTGACATCAGAGGATAGACATTTTGTGGTCAAGGTTTGACTGTTTACACAATCTAAATATAGCCAAAGTAGATATATATATACACAAGTATTAGCTGCGAAAACTTGTACGCTAAACAAGAAAGTCTTGTGACGCAGTCTGCAGGTGGAAAAATTGGCAACAAAATAAACAAAAAGGCAAACGAACGCCCTTTTTTATGAGCAAAATGAAAATAACATCGGCGCAAAYAAACAAAAACATTAATCTGAACATTTTCACTCAGCTGCAGGCAGGTGAGCAGCGTAAGTATAGTGAAACATACACATACATACATATACATATATGTATATCTGTCGTACTTATGTATATGAATCAAACATGTGCCAAGTATATCAGTCTACGTGGGCATGTGCATTGCCTGTTGTCGGATGCTACCTTGTGATATTCTTCAGGCAATGCCAATGAAAGTGTTTCGCCCAGCCCACCTCACCAGCGGGTGTTGCCACCTGTCAAGGTTGCCATATTGTTTGTCAATGTAACATAAATTTAAATCAAGGTGCTTCTCTATATTTTTTTTTTAGGATTTCTCATAAAAAATATGATTGTAAGCTATGCTAAAGTAAAATTAAAAATAGCTAAAATTAAAAACAATATATAGTTTTCATAAAAAATTTGTCATATATATAAAAATAGATTTTTTTAAGCTGCCAAGATCAGTTTGCTATTCTTTTTCGAAAAACTTTTTGATCAACCCACTCAAAGAATGTTCTTCTGTTCCTAATGTTCCTAATGTTAAACAAACAACCTTCAGTTTTGGAGGCAGAAAAATAAACATCATTTCATGTAAATTATGAGTACCTTGAAATTTGAAAGTTCTTTGACGCCTCGTCTAGCCTAATGAAGGTTAATTACACCTGTCCTCGTAATGAATCCAGTGCCAATTGA